ATTACGTGGGTAATAGATAGAGAATCGATATGGCGTAATGCCCATTCTACACCTAGGGATGATCCTACTTGTGGCTCATCCGATACTCCCTTCTATACCTAAAGCTAATCCTACTTGCAGCTTATCCGAGGGAGTAGTATAAAATGTAAAAGGGTACACTGTAGTTGTACTTTGGTACGATTGGAAACCAACCAAAGTGTAAACCTTTTACACTTTATACTACTCCCTCGGATAAGCTGCAAGTAGGATTAGCTTTAGGTATAGAAGGGAATATCGGATGAGCCACAAGTAGGATCATCCCTAGGTGTAGAATGGGCATAAGAGAATCATAAGTGAGATGATTCATATTAAAAAACAGCCGAAAGGAATCAATTCCCAGAAAGACACAGAGGATCTAAATGCCTCCTACACAGAATTTTTACATAGCCTAGCTAAAATTAAAAACAAAACAAATCAGTAACCTACAAACGATAACATATAACAGACAGTTTCTAAAAGTTGAGTCACTCCTCTCAGAGACACGAAAGAGTCAGGTACGATAGATCTTCTGACGAACCGACAAGAATTAAGAAAGAATAATGGTCCAATACCATACAAGGTACTACATATTATACATTATAAATTGGAATAGTACTAAAACAAGAAATTTAATAATAGATTTAATGGACGTCCACTATAACATAAAAAATGACGAGATACAGGCCTACTAACCTGATATACCAAACCAAAAGGACGATATTAGACCATGATTCGCTCAAATAATGACCTTTCGTGTAATTTTTAAAATTTGACTACATAAGAAATAGCGGTTTAAGAGTATCGAGATGATGTAACAGATTCATTAGAGATTAATTGACTACGATTAAAATTAAGTTTTACATTTTATAGTTTACGATTTTTAAAAATTAAGTCCACCCTACAGAGATGTTCTCATTATTATATTAATTATTTAATTTAAGAATTTAATGTACGCTGAAGAAGGCACCGTGTGCAGAAACGCGTCCGTACGTAGAATAAGTAGCAAATGTAATAAGCTATAAGTTATTAATTATATTTATCCAACCTATAAGCTTGTAAATCCTGGCCTTATTTACATTGTTAATATATTGAATATAATACAAGCCTTTATATATATATGTTTCATATTTCATTGACAGCTTTTTGAGAGCTTTCTAAAATATTTCGGTGCTGTGTGGGGTGTGCGTATTTTGTGACTTCAAACTGTCTTTCTCTCTCTCTCTCTCTCCCTCTCTCTCTCTCTCTCTCTCTGTGCGTGCGCGCGCGTGTGTATGTGTGTTGTTTCCATCCGTTATCTGACTCTGTTTGATGGTCAACCAGCTTCATACCGCTTGACACGCATTTTCCCGTGCTTAGCGTTACCCAAG